CCAGCCCAGGTTGTCACTTTAGGAGCAGAAATGAGCTGTCCCTGTTGCCACTGAAAGGTGCTTCGGTTTTGATTCCTCTGACTTCAGTTACAATTCAAGTATGTCTGTACTTTCCTCTTGCTAGTGAGGGGGGTCAGCATTATTCACGCAGAACTTGGTTACTTGAAATGGGTTTTAAGAAAAATGTAGAAGAATGTGAGATGGGTGCTCCTCTCTGACACCTTCAGAGCTTACCAGCAAGCAGCTGTTGGACAGTGCAGGTGATGAGTGCATACTCTGTGCATGGGATTGGTATTTCACTAATAGATACATCTCTTTTATGTTACAGGGATGGAGTGGATAGTAAAATTAAATATCTTTGTGTTCACTTAGAAATCAGAGGTAAAAAAGACACACTCGCTCATTAACTCTGTATGGAGTTTAGGAGCAGAGCAGTTGTCATTTTTGGATAAGACCCCAGAAAGCTGCTGAAGGTGCATGATACCACATTCTCGTTACTATTTAAAGGGAGTTATGTGTGCAAGTCACTCTGGCTCACTTAAACTTTTCTGCCCCTATCTTTTGTTGCCACCATGTTTCTTTGGATATCAGAAATTAATGATATCAACAGTCAGGACAGCTTTCTACTAGCTGAAGGTGGTTTGTTTGACAATGCCTTTGTGCATGCTGTTCTGAACCACCTTCACAGGAGACTGATCTGCAAGTGCAATTCATAGGTCCAACATCCAACCACCAGCCTGACTTCTTCAAAAACATAGGCTATTGGTTTTCAACATCCTACTTCACCTTCAGGAACAGACCTGCATTGACCCTGAGGCTTTAGAGAAAAAAGAACTAGTGCTTCCTTTGGTTGATCACCTCACTGCTGTGTGGTTTTGGTTGGTTTTTTTAAAGCCATGCGTACTAGATGTCATCAGTGGGAATGCCTTTTTCCTCTAGAATTTGGCCTGAATTATTCTGTTCTCAAGTTCTTGGTTCTTGAGGTTGGGGATTGTGTACACTGTTCCACTTTTGTGCACCCGCTGGTATAATTTAGTAAATCTGTCATTTATGCTCAATATAACAGAGTCGTTTAACTGCAGGAGCTCACCAGTACAATTAACCCTGTTCTGTCAAAACGAGGAGCTGATTATCTTGGCATTCACAGGAGCATAGAGCGCAGTTAGAGTGCTGTGGTTTCTGGCCCTCCTGGAGCAGTACTGCAGTCAATTGATTATTTTGTTAATTTGTTCTGCATCGGTATCCTGCTGGTTTATTATCGTCCAAGTGACTTTATGCACCATGCATAAGTACCAGTATATTAAAAATCAATACTTGAACCTTCTTTGCTTCTAAGGATGGTACCATCCGTGGGCTACCTTCTTTGATATGTGACCTTCATTCTGATTACAACACAGCTAGTAACTTTTAGGTGATTTAGTCCCATGCTAATAAAGTAGATGCTCAGACTTTGCTCTCTACTTAATCCTGTATCCTAATGAAGAAGGACTAAAGGAATTAAGAATGTAATTTTTAAAAGGCTGTTATTGCTGATAAATAAGCCTAATTTTGAGACAGTAAAATTAATGCTATTTTAGTAAGAAAATCTCGTTCCTTCACCAGGTTCTAATAAGTATCATGCTTCACAGGCTGAAATAATTTAGAGATGCTATTATCAGAAGCCTGAGTCTTATGAACACTCTTGTTTTTCCTGTTTCAGTTAGAGAAACAAATATTTAAAAGATGGCACAGGGTTGCATTGAGCATTGGATTGAGGGCTGGATTCCAGGTCTGAATTTAACACAACTCCATGGGATTAGGGCTGGTTTAGGATCAGAATGTTTTCCAATGATCGCCTACTGCTGTGCATGCAAAGGTGTTCCCTCTTGTATGTGTTTTTGAACCATGCAACATGGTACTTAATGCGTTTATGTTACTGATGTCACAGGGAGACCTGTTCTTCTTTTAGAAGAAAACCACAAGGTAGAAGCAGACTCAGATGTGGACCCTCTCCTGATCTAGACTAGATATGAAAACACAATTTTCCAGCTCTGGAGAAACACAATTTTTCTAGTGCAGGTACCCAATTGGCAGGAAGACTAGGATTCTTCCGAGTCAGCTCTCTGCAGCCCGAAATGGGCAGGTCTCCACTCACGTGACTGGATTTGCATCATCCTTTCCCAACGATAAGCTTGTTCTATTGGGGATTTTCTTCTGGAATATATGGATGTTATCTTTTCTCGAGACTGTTGCTTTCTAGCCACATCTTCATCAAGAGAAAGGCAAGTTCTTGGGTTGTGCAGGGTTATACAAGGCAATTTAATGAGGCAATTTATAGCTTATGTAAGTGAGAAGATACCAAGGCTTTACCTAAACTTTTCAACTCATTTCATGACACAAGTGCCTAATCTTTTCTGGATGTGATTGTATGAGTTCCCATCGTTACTGAACATGAGGAAAACCCCCATGTCTATGTAGTCAAAAAGAGGCCTCAGTTTCTGAGACTGTTACCTCTCTGGATGGTAACATCCTCGTATGCCTTTTCTCCATGGGAAACGTTTGGAAAACAGCCTACAGAGTGATTTTAGTTCAGAGGAGGCTGTACCCCCTTAAGGGGTATGTTTCCTTGTCTCAGGAAATTATAATATAATGTAATATAATATAATAGAAAAAATAAATTCTGTTTTATTGTGAAGATGGAACAAATCAGACAAATGAGATGATGCTGAAGAGGGAAACCAGCCTGTGCTATTTCTGCAAATTGCTCCCCGCTTCCTCTGGGTTGTCTTAAAGAAAAGCCGGGGCTCCATAGCATTGCATTTTAATTAGTAGAAATCCTTTTGTGCTAAATCCTAATTCAGTGCCTTAATGCAGCAGGTCCTGCAGAGCCAGCAAGCTCGCGTGGGAGCACGAACGCATGAAATCTTTTCTCTGGCATCCCTCTAAGTGAGGGCTGGCTCCTGTTGGTAATTATTTTCTGTGGTGACAGCTCGGGGTTTGCAGTCGCGAGCAGAGAGGCAGGGGTGGAGACGGGGAAGGCAGAATGACGGGGGATTGCTCTGTTGTCTCCATGGCATCACTGAGCCTTATCTTAGAGGTATCAAACAGTGCTTACACCTTTCTTTACTCTGTACGGATACCTAGCACCACTAATGTAGGTCCTGCTTAATCACTGTCCTCTTTCCAGCTTATTTTGTAACAGGTTTTTCCTCTTTCTTTTCAATCTGCTCTGCTTTTAATGAACCTGCACAAGTAATGGAAATACATGTCTAAATGAAAGCGGCTACCAATTCAAAATTTTATCATTTTATGCCTTTAGTTAAGGAGTTAGAATTCGTACAAGTACATTTTTAGAAACATTTGGTACTGCCTTTTCAGGGCGCTCTGCCCTATCCTGCTCACTCTGAATTGGTATTATGTTTTCAGACTTCAAATGAAGCAATATAGCTGTGAGGAAAATAGCTTTTAGCCCCCATCAGTTAGATCCCAGATTCGTCTCTGCCTTAGGCATGTCACTGGGCACTGTCTTTTGAGGCTCCTGCTTTAATTAACGGAGGCAGAAGGACACCTCCAAGAATGACTCAGCTGACCTAAGATCCAATTTAGCCTTTGGATGAATTTCACTGCTGTTGATTTTGACTGACACTAGATGAGTTACTGCAGCCCAGTGGTGTAACTCCTCTATACATCTTCTTAATCAGAAATTCCAAAGCCATGCATGTAGAAGTGGTTCTCTGAGTTATCAAAATATTTAATAAACATGCAATTTTTTCAAGAAAATACCTAAGGAGATGTTAGGGGTTTTTCTGCCTTCTTGCTGCATCCCAAGGTATACTCAGTTCATGGCTTTAAGCAATCCTCTTTGATCAAGAGGGCTAGATTTATTTATTTTTAAAAATTTCACTTATTTCTAATTAAATGCTGGGACTCATGCTATCTGGTTTCAGGTATTAGGCTAAAGAGTACAAAAAGAGTATGCCAAACTTGACAGCACTTCTGCAAGGTCTAGGAATATGTTAGCACATACTACAACGACAATTACAGCTGCTCAGTGATCTCCTTTAGGAGTGCTCTTTTACAGGGTTACAAATAAGATGATTATGGTCTGACGTCTGTAGTTCCTGCCTCCAAAGATACTCGCGTCTCTAACTTTTCTTGTTTTCTACAGTGCTTAGTTAAATGGTTTTTGTGGATTTGCTATTCATAAAGAAAAGGATGTCTGAAAAAAAAATATGGCTACTTGTGTTTCATAACCAGTATTTTCATATTTTACACTTTAGCCAGTCTGGTCAGTTTAGTGACGTTTTTGCTGTCTAGTTTTTCTTGCCAATGTATTTATTTATCACTTATTTATTGCAAGGATAATCCCTGAAAGTAGATAGCTCTACAAGATGTGTGTTTGAGAAACTCAGGAGCGTGATGAAACCACACAACCACAGATATTTTTCTCCCAGCAAATCTCTTTGGCAGCAAAGGCTATTTAATACTCTGAAAATGCCCTGAAGAAATGTCTGAAAAAGTAAAAGTGTGGGTGAGCCCTGCATCCTCATTTTATCAAATGCCTGCAGCTTGGAACAGGGACATATTGGGAATGAGTTAAATAATTTTAGCATCTAATAATACCAATGTTTTGCTATTGGTGGCTATAAAAAAGAAAATTATGGCAAGAAGATCCATGACAGTAGGGATACCAGAGTAGAGGCTCCTCATTATGCAAATTCTCAGGTATCTAAAACACATTCAAGCTGTAGCTTTCCTCTAGATGGGATGCTTTGGAATGTCTCTTCCCTATGAAACCATCACAGCAGTCCTTGAGCTCTCTCCATCTTGGCAAATTTCAATTGGAAATCAGCCCACAGGCTTTAGAAGTTGCAAATTAATTACACGGACACAAATGATGTGCATTTATAATCTTTATCTGGCTAAGGATCTGGCATAATCTTTAACAAGGCTAAAAAACCAACCCTTTGTATCTTTTGTTAAGAATGCTGAGCTAAAGATGTAAAAATTAACTGTTCCAGGTAAAGAAAGCTGTGCAACAGGAAGGCTTCAGCAGAAGGAAGCGAGGATACAGAGACATCAATGACATCGACATCAATATGAATGATCCTTTATTTACGAAGCAATGGTACCTAGTAAGTTTTGAAAGAAAATCACAGTAATCATAACTAAATAATTGGCATTCATCAATTCTGTGATATTGAAATGTTTTGCAAGAGTTCTTCCCAAATATGTCACAAGAACTTGGGAATGGATCCAAGGCTCTGTCCTGTTGTTTTTAACTGTACCTCTTTTATGCTGGGAAGACCCAGCACATTTCAAGAGCTAAATTTCATTTCAGTCAACGGAAAGATCCTTAGAAGGCTTGAAAGAAAATGTATTGGTGTCCTGTGGGCATTCCTGGTGTGCTGATGTGACCCCTAAAACTGCATATGAATCATGTCTTTGAGCTGTTGCCAGGTAAAATATTGTTACAGAATTATAACAAAAAGTTCTAGTGCATTGGCTAGAAGAAGTTGAGGTTTTTCTTTTCTTACAGAAATGTGAATGTTAATTTTTTTTCTTCTGTCAAAAGCAGAACAGCTGAAAACTGATGAGTTTTGGCTTAAGCTAGTGTCAAGAGAAATTAATATTTTGCTAAATTGTTTCATTTTTAATGTGTCATATTTTATAGGGAGAAGTCTGTAGTCTTAAAAGAAAAATTACATTTTTACCCAAAAGTAACCAAAATTGTATTTTTCTATTTAAGAAGTTGATAAAGTAATTTTGGCCAGTTTTAATGTTGCAATCTCTTTATGATGAAATAGTAAATGCAGTACTGCCTTGTTCACTTAGTAAGGGTCTTTCTACTTAAGGATGGTGTTTCTTATTTTCTTCCCTTTTAATCCATTACTTATGTTTTATGAATCCATCCAATATGGTTGGTTTTGTTTTTTGTTTTCTTTTCTAAGACAAGAGTTTTCAGATGAATGAGGGCACATTAGCATGGGTGGGACTTCACCCCTGATGAGATGATTAAAATTAAAGTGTGTATTAACTCACTTCTTTGTGGTACTTCAAACAAAATGTTGCAGTGATAAAAACAACTTTTTTATGACGTCTAGATTTTTAGTTTTTAGATTACAAAGTGCACTAAAGTGTGTTTTAAAATTAGATGTCTGACACAAAATTGAAAATTTTTGCACCTGGAACAGCAAAAGCCATATTATTTTTCCCTCAAATCTTTGCATGTGAGATTGGTGAACACGAGTAATGCCTGAAGATGCAGGGAATTGCCCATACCGCAAAATCCTAGAATCACATACACACAAGGTGGAGAAGGACCCCTTGAAGTTCATCTGGTGAACCCTTTCTGCTTAAAGTGGGGCTAACTCAGTTACCAAAGTATTTGTTTCTGGTACTAAACCCAGTGGATGTGAATTTCAGTAGATCCCTGCTTTCAAGATCAAGGCGTTTCCTCTCCTAAAATAGTCCTCTGTAAAATCCATTGGTCTAACTTTGTCTGGATTGAGCCACTGCCCTGACATGCTTAAGCAGAAAAGCCCTTTTTTGGATCCAAAAGATTCAGTGTTTGATCAAATCTTGTAAACCACAAAGAAGTGAATTTATCCAGGGTTGGTTTGGGTAGGTTTGTTTGTTTTTTTTTTTCATTTTAGTACTGCATTATTGCAATAGGTATGATTACATGCAGATGTGTACTTCAAAGCAAATGGTATTTTCCATACCAAAGATACGCGCAAAGATATAAAGCAAAATTCAGTGGCTGATGAAACGTGTCTATTAAGTAAAAAAAGCTATTCTTCTTTTTCACTGATGTATTAGATTAACACTGGTCAAGCAGATGGGACTCCTGGACTTGACCTTAATGTAGCTGAAGCATGGGAGCTGGGATACACAGGGAAGGGAGTTACCATAGGAATTATGGATGATGGTAAGTGAAGGCTGCATGCTAATATAATATTTTTCAGTTAGCTTTTTCCATGTAATCCAAGTTAAAAAAAAAAAAAGATTAAAAAGTAATAATGGATCGCTTATGGTGCTGAGACTACTAACCTCCATAAAGACTTTGAGATCTTCAGGGAAAATATGCTGTAAAGCCTCCGCTAGGGATACTGAAACATGGATATCCAAGCATTAAAAGTAGTTTGCAATTACCCCTCAGGTATCTTCCAGGGCACAGTATAATGGCCATTAAGCCAAAGGAAAGACTCCCCTTGACTTCTGTAGGCACTGACTGGGGGACGTAATTGCTGTGCAAAAAGTACTTAAGAAAACGTTTTCTGGGTTACATTATTCTCAAAGTCATACTTGACAGCTGAAATAATTAAACACTTTCATGCTGAATGTCAATAAAGACCTGCATATTAAATATATTACTAAATTGGGGCTAAGTTTAGGAAGATGAAGGTAAGAGGGTACAGTTGAAGTCACAGCTGTTCTGCCTGTGGTTTCCTTGCTGAAGTACAGGAATTCTGTACAGTCTCTCAGCACTTTTCTTTGGGCTAAATTTTTTAATGTTTTCCTTTTATGGTAACTGAATAATATTAAAAATAAATAAAATTTCTGAATCCACATGTGCTTTCTAGGGTCAGCTGAGATCTGTCCTCATTTCTGTTCTCATCTGCTTACTCCTAAGACAAGGTTTTTGTGGAATTAAGAAAGTAGACTCAGACATCCTGTGTGTTGATGTTATGAAAAATCACAATTTCACTTATCTCACAGAGGCAGGACTTAGCTTTCAGAATAAGTAGGCATGACTGTGATAGGGATGACAACAAACTATTTAACCTTCTGGTCAAATTAAGGTGTTGACCCATCAGATACAGCTTTTAGAGAGGGGGTTAATTTGCCTTGCATTCACTTCCAGTAACTCTGGAAGAGAGCACCTGAATAACATGATTCTTCACTGAGACTTTTGTTGTTCATCTCCCATTTGCATGGGTAAGGCTTTCCACAGGTGCAGGGCTCTCTTCATGCAAATCCAGTGCTAAGGACCCCACATAATGGGAGGTGATCATGTCATCGGAATAACCGCAATAATACAACGTTCTCCTTGCAGATAAAATCAAGCATGTAATAGTGTGGTAGTTGGAGACATTGGGTAGTGTAACGATCAAAATGTAACATGAGATTTGTGGCTGTTTCTTTGTATGTTTTAACCGGATGTGTAATAGGTCTGTTTATCCTGGATCGCTTATGGTGCTGAGACTACTAACCTCCATAAAGACTTTGAGATCTTCAGGGAAAATATGCTGTAAAGCCTCCGCTAGGGATACTGAAACATGGATATCCAAGCATTAAAAGTAGTTTGCAATTACCCCTCAGGTATCTTCCAGGGCACAGTATAATGGCCATTAAGCCAAAGGAAAGACTCCCCTTGACTTCTGTAGGCACTGACTGGGGGACGTAATTGCTGTGCAAAAAGTACTTAAGAAAACGTTTTCTGGGTTACATTATTCTCAAAGTCATACTTGACAGCTGAAATAATTAAACACTTTCATGCTGAATGTCAATAAAGACCTGCATATTAAATATATTACTAAATTGGGGCTAAGTTTAGGAAGATGAAGGTAAGAGGGTACAGTTGAAGTCACAGCTGTTCTGCCTGTGGTTTCCTTGCTGAAGTACAGGAATTCTGTACAGTCTCTCAGCACTTTTCTTTGGGCTAAATTTTTTAATGTTTTCCTTTTATGGTAACTGAATAATATTAAAAATAAATAAAATTTCTGAATCCACATGTGCTTTCTAGGGTCAGCTGAGATCTGTCCTCATTTCTGTTCTCATCTGCTTACTCCTAAGACAAGGTTTTTGTGGAATTAAGAAAGTAGACTCAGACATCCTGTGTGTTGATGTTATGAAAAATCACAATTTCACTTATCTCACAGAGGCAGGACTTAGCTTTCAGAATAAGTAGGCATGACTGTGATAGGGATGACAACAAACTATTTAACCTTCTGGTCAAATTAAGGTGTTGACCCATCAGATACAGCTTTTAGAGAGGGGGTTAATTTGCCTTGCATTCACTTCCAGTAACTCTGGAAGAGAGCACCTGAATAACATGATTCTTCACTGAGACTTTTGTTGTTCATCTCCCATTTGCATGGGTAAGGCTTTCCACAGGTGCAGGGCTCTCTTCATGCAAATCCAGTGCTAAGGACCCCACATAATGGGAGGTGATCATGTCATCGGAATAACCGCAATAATACAACGTTCTCCTTGCAGATAAAATCAAGCATGTAATAGTGTGGTAGTTGGAGACATTGGGTAGTGTAACGATCAAAATGTAACATGAGATTTGTGGCTGTTTCTTTGTATGTTTTAACCGGATGTGTAATAGGTCTGTTTATCCTGTCTGAGTGTAGATCTGCTGCTGCTGTTCCACCGCCCACTGGCATTTGTATGTTTCCCATATGTGGAAAGATTTGATAATTAGAAGGAGTATATTCCGCACCACTGCTCTCTAACAATCTTTAGCACGCTACCAAGGTGCTGAGCCTGTGCTCAGATGTTTGCTAAAATGGTCTAATCCAATGTTAAAAGTTCTTTCACATGCGTAATCCAAAATATATACCTTAGTGATTTCCCCAAGTCTAGTTTAGGTAATTTTCTGACTGCTTGGTTTACAGTTTTCAGTGGTTAAAAATACTCCTTTTTATGTCCTGTACTGTTCCAGTGCTTACTGATCTTATTAGTTTTGGGATGCTTTGAGATGCTAGAACTTGTATAAGGATAAACTGTGATTTAGACTAACCTTAATAAGTAACCTTAATTGTAGTCTAGTCTACATCTACAAAACAGGTCAATAAATTTTATTGCTGAGCTCACCTTTCTTGTTGGGAACGGGATTTTGACATAACTGATTGAAAACTCCTTGCTTGTACTGCATCAGAACTGGTAACACCAGTTTAAAAGTCCATATTTGAAAACTGGAATTTCATTTCAATCAGTTGCATTATTCACCATGATAATTTTCGTATGGTTGCAAAGGAATCTTGTTTTGTTCTGTGATCATTAGAAAATCTTTTTTGAGACTCTTAACCTTTGGTTTCTGTTCTGTCATTATCTTACTGCAGGAATTGATTATCTGCATCCTGATCTTGCATCGAATTACGTAAGTAATGCTGACCTTTTCTGTAAAATGTGGATTTTCTTATTGTTACGGTCCCTCTGCTACAAAATTTTAAATAATGAGTGGAACAACAGTACAGCTGAACTGCTGATCTTACAGATGATAGATTTCACATTGAAGGAAGCAGGTTGAAAATGGAACTGCCTGTGCAAGGACTGGAAAGGTGACAAGGCTCTTCGTGGAGGAATGACAGTGCTGCCTCACATTAAATAAGCTGCAGCTTGCAATATTGGATTTAGGACAGAAATGAGTAACCTGGGAATTGGTTCTAAATCCTGCTATTAAGATGCAGAATGCATCTGTCACTTGGAGGGCCATGGAGCTGTAGCTGTGGCAAGGCACGTATTAGCCTTTGAAACCTCCAGGAACAGCTTAATTCCTTTATAACAGGTGATTTGATGCGGTGCTTCAAAGCATGTGGAGGGCAGATTGTCTATTCTCAGTGCACGCTGCGGCAATTGATTGTTCCTCAAACCTATCTCAGGCTTACCTTCAGACCCAAGGCTTTTTATCTTTCTTAATTCCTCCAGGCTCTCCCCAACCCTCCTGCTGACACTAGGAGTCCTGTCTCCAGGTCTCCTCAGGGGCTCTCACCACCCAGGGACTGCAGGTTGCCCTCGTGCTGAGCTTGTGGCACTCCCGTGGGCAGTGGGGGTCAAGAAGCTGTGGCTCCTTGCTGGGGGGGCGTTGCAGTGCCTCTGCTTTACATTTTGCTATTTTCCTGAGGGAAGCCCAGGCTGCTTTGGCTGAGCAATGTGGTTTACTTCACAATAGCAATTAAACAAAAAGAAGAATAACTGCAAATTTTGGCAAAAACATGAGCTGAGAGAGTAAAACAATTATTTTTGTGTCTTTTCAATTTTGAAAATAATAACACACTGGATGAAAACCTATTTGTTGTAGCAAGTAGCAAAACACCTTTGGTAGAGAATAAATGGATATAGAAGGTGTTGACTTTGGACAAGGAGTATGGTAAGCAGCTGACCACAGAGGTGAAGTGCAGAATAACCAGTTTCACTCCTTAGGGACTCACTTAATAACTGTTCCTTATGAACTGGCTTAATAACTTGATAGCAGCTAATTAAACCCTGTGCCCTAACTGCAAAATTCTCTCCCAAGAGGAATAACTCAGGAGGATGGTTCCATAAGCAAAGGTAGCCTTTTTCTTTGTAGGAATTGTGCTCTGTGTGTGTTTCAACATATGATCTGGGGACAGCACATACTCTTCATGCACTTCTCAGCAGCAGGCATGGACAAAGTATGTGGGCTAAAAACCATGTTTCAAATAGACAAGCAAAAAGTCAGTACAACATATCTGATATAATGTTAAATAGAAACAGTTCAGTTGTTCATGCCCAGAAACCAAAAATAAGTTTCTCAGTAATACACTATTTTCTCTTTTAATTCTAAAAATGCTTTCTCTTTGATGGATAAATATATGTCAATCTTGGCAGAAATGTATTGGTTTTAGAGTGGCCATACTAAGTATTCTAGAAATTAATGGAAAATTACATAGGGAATGGCAGTCCACATAGATGATGCTGAAAGAAAATAGTGGAGATGGAGAGAAATCTGAGAGCTCAGAAAAGAAATAGTGGAATGAAATTGTAGATGTAAAGCTGTCTGGGAATGCAGAAAACAAACCCTTAATGGCAGCCATGAAAGACTTGTGCAGAGAATTATGTTGAGATGAGATTCTGAAGAAATCGATGTAGGAATGACTTTTCCCAAGTGAGGAGTTGTCCGGTAGTGGAGCAGTGATCAGGCTGTTGAGGGACAAAAGAAGATTGTCTGGCCAACGCAAAATGCAGGTTTAGGCTTGGGTTGTGCAGAGCAGATCAATAGCCAGACACAGGGGAGAAAAGGCTGAGGAGTGAGTGGTTGGTAAGACCCTTAAAGGAGCAGCAGAAAGGAGATACCACCTTATAATCCAGAAATAGAAAAATAACGAGCTGTCACATGAAATCTGTGGTTGTAGGCTGTCACAGCACTGGGTGGGGAAAAAAAAAAAAAGCAACACACCAAACCTAAAAAGCCAAAAAATAAAAAAAAAGCTTGAGTTTGTATAGGTCATCTTTTTTGCCTAAGGTACACTTTTAATTCTGTGATGAATATAACAGGGCCACAGCAAGGAAACGTGCTCAGAAATTGGCACGTTATATGCAAGGTAATGAGTAAAAGGGTAAAGTTGGTAACTGGGAAGAGGTGCTGGCACCTCCTCAGGCAGGGCTGGTGGCAGTTGCTGCGGGTGAGAGCTGGCTGGCTGAAGGGCAAGGCTGACTCCTGCTGCTAAAATCTGCCGTCTCCTCCCTCGCCCAAGCGCAGCGCGGCGGTGGCAGGGCTCGGTTCAGCGGCACTCTGCCTCTCCGGGTCTCTCTGCAGAGCAGCGTGGGCCTCCTCAGGTCCTCAGAGATCCTGCTCTCACTGCATCTGCCGTGGCTCAGAGCCCACGGGAGCCTTTTTTCCCAGTAGGTAGTAATTTGGGCATGAACTAAAGACAAAGACTTAAATTTAGCTGAAGGAAAGATCGGGTTAGACCTAAAACCGCAATGAAATGAGTCTCTTGGGAATGAGTTGTTAACTTGCTTCGGGCTGGCATAGCAATTGCAGTCACCTTCGTACAGTTCCTATACCACACGTCTGGGGTTTTGTGACATTTGAACTTTGGGGCAGCTTTCTCTTAAGGTATATTGTTTATTTTTAGGAAATTAGGAACCTGCTGCTTCTGTTTTTCAAGTGTGTAAATGCTCACATACCCTGGCAATGTCTGTACATCTTGCTTGGAAAATTGGGAGCGATTAGAAAGTCTCTCAGAGGTGGTAGTTTTGGCACTCTGAGTATTTTCAAGTATAAAAACTTGGCATTCTTTCACTCAGTTTAATTTGGCTTTTATGTTTCTGACTTGCTGGTTTTCTTGCTTTAATAGTTTAATGGGGGTTAGCAATTAGACAAAATGGGGGGTCAGGGAAGAGAAGGAGCTTTCAAAAGTAAAACAGAGTTTGTATTTTCTCCTAAAAATTGCTGAACTATAGCCTATCATATGGAGTGCACTTCTGTCTATATTTTTCTTTGCAGTTTCTGAGCTTTACTGCTTGAATCATCCATTTTCTTTTTAATGCACTTTATGTACGTGGAGAGGAGTGTGCCTACTGACAGTCTGGATGGACTGCTGTCCCAGCACCCATCCCAGTTTGCTGCAGTACAGCTACTTGCTTTTCTGGGATCAGGAGGTTATGGCAAAGCTGGAATTTTCCATTCTGCACCATGAATGCAGAGAGACTCATTGTCAAGCGGTCGATACTTTCTTCCAAGCCTTGGAAACCCTGCCGAGGTTCAGCCTTCAGGAAATTATTTTTTTTCCCACAAAGAGAACCCTTCATTATGAACTGATAATTAAAAAGCTGAAGCCTAATGTACTTCACAGTTTTCTTTCAATGCAGGCTATACATACAAAGCCAGCAATTTTCAGGACTGACTTTTCCAAGATACAGCATCTGAGCGAGAAAGAAAAGTGAATAACAAGGGCTGCATATTAGATATGTCTAATAAAAGAGAAGAGCAGCTGGGGGTGTGTATGTTACAAGTTTCAGTACATTGTTTTAAAGAAAAAACTAAGCACAAATGGAGATTTGTTGTGCCAGGAACAGAAGCAGATCTCTGTCTTGTATCAGTTTATACTGCAGTACTTTTATACTTGGCCAATGTCTGCTGATGAAGGTCAGCGTAGCTGCGTTATCCCATTTACAGCAGCAGGGAGCTGATCATCTCACCTAAGTCCTGATTAGCGGTAGTGAGGAAAATCAGACTCCCACCAAGAGACTCGGGCCAGGAGTAAAAAATTGCTGCTTTCAGTGTCTGAACTGAAAGCTTGTTTAAAAAATAAAAAAATGGGAGGGAGACAAACATTTCCTGCAGGAAAACTGGAGGTGATTATGAGAGTAGGTAACTTTTTTAAAAAAAGTATCAATACTTGTAAAATGGGAATCATGCAACAATTCTTAGTAATAGATATGAATATAACATTCAGATGAGAAAAAAGAGTTTGAAATCTGTGGAATTACACAGATGTAAAATGTGCACAAACACGCACAGCAGCAGTTCATTGCTGTCGTTCCCCCAATTCTTCTTCTCTGTAACCTGTGTCTTTATGGTACAACCTTATCTTCCATCTTCCAAGGCCCTAACCAGCTGCTGCTCAAGCTGTACACAGCAAAGGATTTGCTGAGCAAAAAAAAGGCCATATGTAAGGAATGAGGGAAGACTTTTTGGAGTTACCCTGGGGTTAATTGTAGTTTTCTGTCATCTAACGTTTCTTACTGAAATGTGAACAGCAGGTGGTCTTACCTGTTCTCTCTTCCCACTTTGGCAACGTCTCCAAACACAAAGCAGTCTCTCTCTCGCAACTTTTGGTAACTTGTCACCAGCTAATATGATAACAGCTCCCCCCGCCTTGCTGGGAAGCAAGCAGAAGCATATTTTTGGAATAATTATCTTATCGCATAAGCAGTGAAGCAGGGAAATGTTCTACTTCTGTTACGAGCTGCAATTTCCATTGTTTGCCAGAGGAACAAAACCAGCATTGAATAATCTTTACAGCTACGAAAGAAATAAGGAATAGTACAGGCAATAAATTATACACTGCAAAATGTGCAGTGAAGCTTAGCAGCAGCATAAAAAAAAATCATTTTTCTTTTAGAAAGTCTGTGTTTCCTTCATTAGCGTGAATTCCTGAGTATGCTTTGGCCTCCCTGTATGCCACCAAAAGGACTGGCAAATTGGTCTGGAGGCCGTGAGCCTGATCTGAGTGATTTGCCAGTACAAATCACCAGTATCTCCATTAAAATCACTGCAACCCCATTGTGGGGTTTTGTAAGTTGAACAAAGCTCTGTTGATGTCTGTTGAGCTATGCTGCTTTGTCCCTGATGATCTGCCCCACAGAAATCCCAGCTGATGTAATTGCCCAAATCAAGCAGAGTTCACC